TAGTGGAACCTAGTGTAGGTAATCCAGAAGCTGGCAAAAGCATGATCAGGGGTCATGAAGACACAAGAAAAGTTGGGAAGAAGTGAGGTTGCTTAGAAGATTTAGGAGAAATACAGCAGTCTTTGCAAAGGAAGGCTGCCTCAGAAAGGGTGGGATTTGTCTGTTTTTGGCAGTGATAGAGGCTTAAAGTGCTGTGACAGAGGTGAAGGTTAGACCTCAGAAAAAGTTTAATTTAAGCCAGTTAACCTGTGGAACAGATTGCCTAGGCAGAGTGGGGAGTATCTACTGCTGGTGGTCTTTAAGAACAGGTAAACCAGGAACCTGAATAGATGCAGGTAGAGCTGATCCTGCCTTAGGACAGGGGTCCCTCTAGGTCTAGTTGTCCCTCTCGGACAACATCCATTGTTGTCCTTCCACAGTCTTTTCACTTAAGTGTCACTGCACTTCCCTGGCCTCATCCCTTACCTCCTTATTTAGCTTTCAGCTCATTCCTAAAGCCTTGGCCACCTTACACTCAAGAAATCATAGGGAATGATATAATGAGCTGGTATCATACTCCTACTCTTCATGTGCATTATTCTCTTCTTTCACTTACATCTTCCTTCTGTATTAGGGAACATGCACCACCCTGTGTGCATGCATGCATGAGCATGTGTACTTTTTAAACACAAGCTCCCATTCCTGGTTAGCCTTAAAAAGGCACCAAAATAAATGTTTGGTAACACATGCTTCTTAATCAAGTTGCATCAGTACATCTCAATGCCATTTCAGAGTTATGATGCAGTTGGTAATAGCTGAGATTGTACAGTATACAGAGGTGACACATTTCTTTCTAAAATAAAAGTACAAGTAAATATCAAATAGCAACACTAACTTACATTATGTCATCAGTTTTGAAGAGGAAATGAGCCACAGATTAATGAGGAATTCTGCCTAGAAGTCAGAGGTATGATACAGTCTTATATTATTAAACAAGAGCTAGATATGATCTAACCTACTTCAAACAGCCCAGTCTTTAATAGAGTGAAGAGAAAAAGACAGAGGACCAAGAATCTATGTTTATCTCTGGTGTAACACCAACGAAGCCAACAGGATTCCTTGAAGTTCAGTGTGCCTCAGAGCACCACATGGCAAGTGCCGCAGGTCATCCTGTAAGCTGCAAGGTATGATCGATGGAAAAAGCAATGCCATTTTCCGTTCCTATTTAGGAAACATTGTACTAAGAAATATGATACCACAGGACTGTATCTCAGATAACGTCTGCTTATTATTATGTAACAATTGATGTATTGATTCACTAAACGATTTTACAAATTCAAATAAGAACATACTCCAGGAAGTCCTCTGGAATGAAGAAATCACAAACTCTCCTAGGAAATTTGATTTTTTTTATACTGTACATACTAAACATAATTATGCTGTAATTAGTATACAAGTAAACACTAAGTTTTATATACAAGTTTCTTGAAAAGCAGGCAGGAATTAAATAGGCTATACTTTATGTTTTCAAAAATCCTAAAACTAGGAAATCATTCATCCATCTGATCAAGTCAGACTTACTATATTAATCCCCCGGCTAGAGATAGTGATTCCCTTATCCTTACTGCTGACACCAAACACGACACTGCTCCCCAATCCCCCGAAGGTATGTTCTAAATAGATAGACATTAATAGATAATGACTGGGAAGAGAGCACATAAATACCTTTTAAAAAATTAACAAATCTGGATTTCCTTGGGCATATAAGCAATAAGAAGAAATCACCTAGCATCTTTTTAGAAAATGCATCTAAAAATTTCTCATTCATAGTCTGCTTCTGGCCTTACACTCCATGACGAGGGCCACTATTTACTTGTGATGACGAGGGCTCTCTACTCTGGCCAAAGCTGTCAGCAACCGACAGCACTTCACATTTAGCAATTTCAGCCACTCTGTTCAGTATCTTTAATCCAAGTTTTGCACTTCCAGAAAAACAAGGCCCTTGCCAACAAATTGAGAACTGAGCAGTCCCAGGGAAGGGGGACTAAAGGAGCTGTTAATTTCCCACTATTTCCAGTGCAGGTCTGTGTCACCCTGCTTACATCATGCATCATTCATCTGCTGTGATGAAAGGCAACCCCATGATTTAAAAAAAGACCTCCGTAGCAGTGAGGATACTATATCTTTGTGAGAAGTGTTTCACATACTTTCCATGGGCACAAACTGCTCCTGCTTCTATTTAAATCTCCGTAGCTCTCTTCGGGGGACATTATTCACTTCAGGAAGTTCATTCAGAAGGTGCTTAGCATAAGAAGAGGAAAAGCCAGCATGGCAGCGGGCAGCAACATGGCTTCTGAAGAAAAGCCGAGCACTACTCCTGCAAAAAGGGCTGTCCACAAGATCCGAATGGCCAGCTTAGTCTTCAGCTTGGCACGAGGTTGGCAGCAGTGGGTATCTGACCACCATGTCAAGCAAGCCCAAGAGCCCCCTGGATGGGTCCCTGCTGCAGAAGACTCATCATCTCAGCCTGTACAAGAAAGATCCTTCAAAAAATGGCCAATTCCATCTGTCAAGAGGGACCAAGAAAAAGATGACGAAAAATCTTCAGCAAAGGAATCAGTGACAATAAGAGACGCTGAAAAAAATTCAAGGGAATCAGATGAAGCCCTCAAAAAGTTCAGCATTAAAAGCAAGGAGGTGACCAAAACAGTTGTAAGCAAAGCCTACGAACGAGGAGGTGATGTTAGCCTCCTCAGTGAAAGATATGAGAACAACAATAGTAGCCCAGAGATGACCAAGCTCAAAGAAGAAACAAGTGCTATTGACAAAATTCTTAGTGGCAAATTGTCTCCGACCATAAGGAGAAAGTGTTCAAACGTGGTATCAGAGCTGACCAAGGGCTGGAAACAGATGGAACAAGAGGATGAAGAGGGGGCTAAGGAAGAACTGCTGCTTAAGTGTCACGATGACAGCCTGGACGCAGAGGACAGTGGCTATGGGGAAGCAGAGGACAAACTGGAGCAAGAAGACAGTGACCGAGAGGTGACGGCTGTGAGGATTAAACGTCCTGTGCCATCTTTGTAAGTAAAACATCTTTATTACATTATCACAAATGGTCAGCAGACCCTGAGAGACATGTTGGTTTCCACAAGGAAAAGGAGAGGGGAAGAATGGTAGGAAGTGGTCAAAAAGAAACTACTACCCTTGATGAAAATAAAAAAAAGAAAAAAAAAAAAACAACTTTCACATATCTCTCTGTGCTTAAGTAGTTAGTCAACAACATCTGACTATAGCTTTGGGTTTTATGTGCTATATACATATTAGACACTGGAAGTTATATTTGGGAAATATTAATTATATTTAATTTTCACACTAGATTTACTGGTTCATCAAAATCACTACTTACTTTTTAGTACTTTAGTCCATATTTCAGAATAACAACTTTTACCTCATCAAAAGCCCATAGCTACTGATCAAAAGCCCATAGTTATTCATTTATTTCAGCAAATGTTAAGTCTAAAGCAATATACTTGAAAAATAATATTTCCAAATACTTATTCATTATTTTGCATTGAATAAATTGTAAATATTCTCAGGAGTAATTTGCAGAGAATGTCCAAAATAGACCTTGCAGGATTACTTTTAAGTACATCTCAACAAAAGCTGTGTTCACTGCTTCTCTTCGGAAGCTTTCCATGGATTTGGAATTCATCAAGTCAAAGAATGGAAACTTTCACAGGAGTTGGGACCCCAAACATACATTAGAAAGCATCCAGCCTGCCTTGACATCTGCAGGACTGATTGAATCATGCTGTATGTTATAAATCATTTGATGAAAAAGAACATTTGAATCACCAAGAGATCCTTCAAATTTAAGGTGTCCCTTTGGGTACACTATCATAAGGGGTGGGGAAGGGGAAGTACGTTCATTGAATATGTTATGGAAGTAGAAGTTCCTGCCATACAGACTTCCTTATGCCTGTAAATTGTGTGAAGAAAAAGGAAGCAGAATCTGTTACTTACCTACGGAGTTATTACAGGTGCTATTTAAAAGTTTGAATTAAGTAACAAATTAATTGCATCAGACAGTTTTGAGTAATACTTCTTTCAGTAAGAGGCTCACGCTTGAAGATTACTACGCAACAGCAGGCACATATTAAATTTGGAGCCCAGGTAGTAAACAAGTAGAGTTCAGCTGTAGCCATGCAGTCCTTGGGAAGTCTCCCAGAAGAGCAGAGGAGAGGTTGGTAGAAATTCTCCAGTTTTCTTTCACAGACATCTCCAGCAGAGCCACCTTTCCAGAAGACAGCTACAAACAGTTGTGCTGTGGCCAGACTTGCCAATGGGCAGATGCCAAACTGATTCATCACACTCTTGTTGGTAGAAGATTAAAAGATCCATATGTCCAATGCTGCAAGATGGGAAACTGTAGGTAGCTGTTACAGACACAACATGCTGTTTCCTCCAGTCCTGTTTTACAAACTTGGTAATTCCCCAGAACAAAGACAGCAGAAAGGAACATGTGCTTGAGCCTGAACCGTTTCGATGTGAAACCTCACATCTAGCTGTAAAATTGTGATGAAGGACAGTGCAGCCTCCGAGGCCAGGGTACCCCAAGCCATGGCCAAGGCGCAGCCCACGTTCCACCTGCTGGCTTTGCTGGGCAGGGAGGGCAGCTGGAGGTGTAACTCGAACCAAGGCAGGGTTCGGCAGAGCGCATCTGCCCGAGCCCACAGGGAGGGAAGAGGCTAGCAGCAGGGCATGGGTTCCTACCAGGAGCCATCCCGTGATGGGGCCCGAGTCTCCACTGCTTCTACTCTGTGTCCATCACCCGCACACACGCTACATGAGCTGAGCACAAGGCAATTTGAGACGAAAAGGCAGGGTTTTCACCCACCCAATTAGCCTGTGTGTACAGGACTAGCAAGGCAGCAGGAACCAGAGGACTGGGGCCAGTATGTTCATACCGTATCCTAATCGTCATTTCAGAAATGAAAAACTGGGACTAGCACTGACGAAATTGCCAAAAGACTTTGTGTCTGCAGACAGGCAGGCTGTACCATTCCTACTGCTCAGGTTTTATACCTCCCTACTAACGAGCATTTACTATGACCAACATTACACTGTGACTAACACACTAATGGATTTCAACCATATGGTACTTTTTAGCATAGCTATCTGAACACACACACGGTTCTTTTAACTATCCAGATTGGGGATTAGAATGCTTTGCTGCACAGCTCACCAGTCATCTACTGCAAGGAGCAAATGGTTAACAGCCAAACTGAAACCAGCTCTCCAGTAACCTAGAGCTGGAAAGTTTGTGGCCCCTGCTTTTGGGAGAGACCGTGTACACTGTCCTTTGACAGAAGTCAGGACCTCGAAACAAAGATTTCGCACATACAGTGGGGAAAGAAGATACATTTGCAGCAGATATTATCTGTAAATAACCCCAATTCAAACAAATTGCTCACTTTATAATGCTATATTAGAAACACAATAGCTATCATTCTGTTAAACTTTACATGCATTTTCTCCACATGTCTAATTTTAGTGCTGCTACCTAGGAAAAAAACGATCAGCCATATCTACTGAGGTGCAAAAGACTGAAACAACACCCTCTATGTTACTTACAGCTATCTCTTCCACTGCAATCTGACACAAAAGCCATTTTCTGCACTTATAATGATGTTACCAGGACTGGATTTTTTAACTACTTATTTTTTAAAGTTTATTTTATAGCCTCAGAACACATTATTTCAGCCTGCTACTTTTATGAACCTGTCAGTGTGGCTCGCTCTTCTTCAAAAAGGCCATAAGTATATGGTTGTTAAAGCAAAACTCCTATTTTCCTCTCTATATTCCAGGAAAAGAGCATCAGCACCTTTGTCACTTCCAGCTGCAATACTTACTGGAATAAAGTTACATCCTTAGCAGGAGGCACGGTAATGCCTACAGGCCTAGAAATACTGTTTCATTCCTGCTTAGGAGCCAAAGGGATGCAACAGTGATATGAAACTCAAAGCATTAAAAAAGGATCCATACTTTTCCCCTACAGAAATGATCATAGGGAGCACGGACATTGTTCTCCTAGAAGTTCAGAACGCATTTAGGGTGATCATTTTGGTTAACAGGTTAACTTATTCGATTGCTACAGGTAAAGCACTTCTTACGGTGGGTTAACGCTCACAACCTTTGTTTGGGATCCACAATCCATTGTGTAGGTGCTGTACAAACATGAAAAAAATGCTTCTGTGTATACAGTTTATTGTGTTAACTTGACATGTTTACTGTGTTAACTTCTCATTAGCTAAACAATGGGGAAAATTGTACTTCAGCCATCAGAAATGGCTAAATTAGAAGATGCATTAAAAAAAAAAAAAAAAAAGATAGTAACAGTAAGGTGTTTCCAAACCCATGTGGGGCATGATAAAAGCAAAAGGATAGATAGGATGGTGTTTTTCTCAGCCACTGACAAGATGATAAGGATAAGAAAGGTGATAACAGTATTCAGCTAGAAAAGAGAATTAAAGGTTTCAGTAGCAGAAGAAGAGAATACTTACTAAACTGTTCAACGAAGAGGTAACAAAGTCTTTACAGAATTACGCTATCTCACTCACTGGCTTCTTTCCCCTCAACCTGGGGAACTGAAGCTCCAGGACTTTCTCAGGGGTCACAGCCCTTGGAGAGAAGGGGGAGCAGCTGGCGGTGGCTGAGGGGTAAGGTCTCCACGATGGGATGCGCTCCTCAGCTCCACTGAGACTGTTGGTATCACTTCTTCTGAGCAATTTTGATTCACTTCGGGTTCGCCTCTCCCCCTTCACTGATACCTTCCCATGTGAAAAGCTGGGGAAGCAATCAGTCTGAGCTTCAGCTGGAGTTAGGACTGTGCTGGCACAGGGTTTTTACAGCTTTTGGGAGATCTGTAGGTTTCAGGAGACAAATTGCTTTGTGTAACCAAACCCTGTGCCTGCAGTTCCTCTGGGCAACGAAGCCACAATTCAGGGCAAGGGGCAAAGGATCACAGCTTTCCCTTTCTCTATAGGATAACAGCTTATGTACAGGAGGATTTGGCTTATCATTGGGAAACAAAATTGTCTAGCTTTACCCCACTGATATATTTTAATCCTTTCCTGCCAACAGCCACCTGTTAATCATTTATGTGCACAAAACCACAGGTACATACACACTGCCTACTCTCAGGATGCCACAGAAGAAAGGTGCGCTTACTTGGCAACGCTACGTGCTCGATTCTTCTGATGCTTTTCACCGTATTGATGGGGAAGGGTATTTTGGAGCTTTTTAAATACAGTTTCTCAATATAGCTAAGCCAAGCTAATGGCAACTCCACAGCTAAAAGAGTGGTCCTGCCCTCCTACTCCTTCCTCTACCCCTGGCACTAAGTGTCTGCACTTCTTGCTCTGGTGCTGTAGTGCTGCCCAGTACTGGCATCCTTCTGGTGCACAGACCTGAACTGGGAACATCTCTATCATTCCTATTCTCTCTTTCAACAAGCTTAGTAGAAAACAACAAAATGCCCAAACAGCAGGGAAACAACATTTTCTGCAGGTTTGCAGTCCTCGGTACTGTTTTGCTAACTGTATTTTGGTTCGCCGGTGTTACTGTTAACATTCAGCTGACATTACTGGTGAGGTTTCAGAGCAGCCTTCTGGGGAGTAAAAATATTAGAAAACAAATTACTTTGGCACAGCCACAGCACAGCATACTCCCTAGCCAAGCTCTGTACAGACACAATGACAAGATGTGGACAGTGCAGAGACTAGCTCAGACAATCTATAGCTCCCCCACAGCATGTGAGATTGGCCACTAAAGGAAAGAATATCAACAATTTGTCTGTCTGGAGTCATCCAGCAATATGATGTTGCTACGTGCACACACACGCACGGCGAGGGGGGAGGGAAGGGGGGGAAAAAAAAAAAAAATCAGTAAGACCTCTGAAGGTCTTTCCTCATCCTTTGACCTTGACACAAATCTCAGTAGCCCCAAGTTTCTTTCAGGATTGTACCCTGCCAGTGGGAACGTGAATTTAGGACTTCGACATTTGTTCAGAACCATACTTCAAACACACAAGCGTAGGCAGAGCTCCTGCACTCTATTAGATTTTTGTTGTTTTTTTTAAACATCGACATCTATTGCAGGGGACAGATTTTTATAGACACTACCCTCTGTTTTTCAGCCAAGAACAGCTGAGGGCCTAGTCCCTGCACTTACAGTTATTGTCATCTATAACATCAGGGCAGGCAGATTTCAGGCTCTGCCAGGCAGAAACGGGGAGCTGCGTGACTGACCAAAGGTATAGAATCATAGAATCATAGAATGCTTTGGGTTGGAAGGGACCTTGAGAGATCATCGAGCCCAACCCCCCTGCAGTGAGCAGGGATTGAACCTGTATAGAAAGCGCAGGTAATCAGCAACACACTGTTTCGCCCCCCCCCCAACCCGCGTTGCCCCCCCCCCCCCCCCCAGCATTAAGTCATTCTGGGCAAAAGTGTGTCAAAATGGGCTCAAATCTAGGCTGGCGGATGGTAACGTAGATGAGATCAAGCTGTGATCAGCAAATTTGCTTTCGAGTGCAATCTGGCCCCAAAGAACTGGTTTAGAAGTAGTGAACTCATGCCACCTGGTGGTTAGCATCTCTGAAAAAACATGGCAACCAAGCGAAGGGGAGAGAGCAGTAGCAGAACTGTGTAATTAAACGATGAAATGCAAAGCTCAGCCCCCCTTTTGGTTTCTTTCAGGGCAAGCAGGTTTAGCGAAGAAGCGAGCACCAAAGCCCGCAGGAAATACAGCCCCGTTAACAGCCTGAAGGACAGATGGCAGGAATGGGCCGACCAGCACATCATAACGCAGAAGCTGAATCCCTTCAGCGAGGAATTTGACCATGAGCTGGCCATGTCCACGCGCCTGCACAAAGGAGATGAAGGCTATGGCCGGCCAAAGGAAGGAACCAAAACTGCTGAAAGGGCCAAGAGGGCCGAGGCCCACATCCACCGGGAGATTAGAGACATGTGCTTCATCATTGAATCAATGGCTAAGCCACGGCGCGACGGCAAGATCCAAGTCACTTTTGGGGAACTCTTCGAGAGATATGTTCGTATTTCAGATAAGGTTGTTGGGATTCTCATGAGAGCCAGGAAACACGGGCTGGTGGACTTTGAGGGAGAAATGTTATGGCAAGGAAGGGATGATAATGTCATAATTACTTTATTAAAATAAGCACGTTACAACAAGAGCAACCTGGTTTGGAAAACCTTTCTCCACTTCTCCCTTGCTATTGGCTTTTGCACATTTTGAATACAAGATTCCCCCCTTTCACAGGCACAGAAAAAAACATTGAGCATTTTTCTGAATATGTATAACTGCTGCATGATAACGCAAGCATCTGAATGGATTCTTCTCTGTACCAGAAGGGCTTGCAGGACACTTCAATTAATTACTACATGAAAAATAAAGAGAAAAATCTATGTGGAATATAAAGCAGCTAAATATAAATATATAGAATATAGCAACATAAAGAGCTACAAATTAATTCCAATTTTTACTTGTTCTTACATTCAAGATCTTCCCAACTACTTAAACTGGGATATCGGTAATATAAACCATACCAGATCAGAAGCTGAATGACAATATAAACTCAGACCAAGTTTTTGATCTGTGAAAGTGATCTTGCACACATATTTCCTAATTAATCTATTTAAATGCATGTAAAAATAATTTTATTTGAACACAGAATCAAGGATACCACATTCATTTCCTTTACAAACTGGATTTGCAAATACTACTGCAGTGTTATCTTGTGACAATTATTGACAGAACTGTATCTTACATATCACAGACAAAGAGAAAATCCTTCTTTTTATAAATGAGGTTTTATATTTAATGTATTTATGTAACTTATTAGTTTCATAGTTATGCATGTTAGAGACAACACAATAGAATGTAATGCACAAAAAAGTTTTGAATAGATAGCCACGTAGAAAATACCTCCTATGCAACATTGTGCAACATATCCTCTGATTATGTAAATACAGTTCTTATAAATATGGGGGAAAATAACATGTAACATAAAAACCAGTCAGGTACTTGTACTGTTGTGTATAGGAAAAAAGTGACTATGATCAGCATCTTCCATTGGCATGTACTTCTGTGAGAAAAGACACAGAAACAGTGTTCATAACTAAAATGAAGTAACTTTAAGGAAAATGGTGTTTCACATTACACAGAAACACTGCCCTATTTTACAGCATTTGCCATTTGAACCATTTTGATGCCACTGAAATAATATATTTCAGTCCAGGTGATGCTGAAGAGGAGCAAAGGCTAGTGAGCTGATACTTCTAGGTCTTAAAACTGTTTGTATTATGCACAAATCTGAGACCTCTGTAAGGTCTATAGTGGTTACTGGATTACATAGATCACCGTTTCTCTAAACTACTACTGTAAAAATAGCTATCCTGGTAGAAGTGTGCTTCATGCGAAAAACATTTGTTTCGGAGCCAGATGCCTGGGCAAGTAATTTCTATAATGAAAAATAAATGTTTTTTTTCCCCATAAGATTCTTTCAAACTGAAAGAGCAAATATCTTCTTACAGAAGAAAAGGTATATGAACATCTTGTCTCTGTGATAAAACAAGCATTGCTAACATTATGAGAGTACAGGTACTCCACTTCGAAGCCCCAGTGAACACATAAATTAAATATTTTATAAGTTAGTCATACAAGAACTGATTATGTCTATTGTAAGTCTATGTAAATCATTAATATTTTAGGCACAGTTATATGTTGTAAATCTAAGGAAGAAAAAAAATTGTAAGATTGATGCAGTGGAACTTATTTAACATTCTCTTGAGATCTCTCAGACTACTCGAGTTGACCTGCAAAACTGACCTCTAAGTGTAATACTTGTATTTCAGAATATTTACCTGCATATTCTTACCTTAGTCTTTATGTCTTTATATAATGATCTTTACAGCTGTCTAAATTGTCTTGAGGAAATTTGGTTGTCAAAGGAATACACGAACTATAAATAAAACCCTGAATTGATTATTTCTTGGGTAATTCCTCCCACGCACTACAAAAGAAATACGTGCGCATATTCTGTGAAGTAATATATCAGTGAGTTTTTTCAAAATATAAGTACATTCTCTTGTTGACAGGCAGTTAAAGTATTTCCCTGTGACGGTTTCTCTGTCCAAAGCACCAGAACAAGGTTCCAGAGTACATGAAAATGAAACAGTTCTTATACAAAACACCCATACAAAAAATACACGCTAAAGGCACATGTGTTAAGTGCATTACACATTTCAGCTCATGAGAACTCTCACCCTACCACAGGACAACACAGCACAGGTTCCAGAGTACATGAAAATGAAACAGTTCTTATACAAAATACCCATACAAAAAATACGTGCTAAAGGCACATGTGTAAGTGCATTACACATTTCAGCTCACGAGAACTCTCACCCTACCACAGGACAACACAGCAGAGACACAGTTCACCACAGATGGTTTTTCCAGTGTTACGTTCATGTGTGACAAAGCCCAAGAGCACCTCACCATTGCATAAGGAATCATATACATCTACTTTCATTCACTGCCCCGAAACAGCAAGAGTGATGTATTTTTGTACTGACTGTGGTGGTGCACACCACCCCAGCCCTTCCTCTTTTTCTTCAACAGCTTTACAATCTCAGGAATTCCAGACCACCGCTTTTGTGTAGAGAGTTGGTCAGTTAAGCGCCCCTTAATTGTACCAGAAACTCCTACATGGCTGGAGCAGAGAGCAGCCCTGTCCTTACCAAAATCTTCATATTATGGCTAACGAGGGGAGCAAGAACAAAGAAAGAGCTACCCCTGATAGCCTTGAAACAGAGCGGTATCATCGTTACTGGAATTCCAGCAACTACCAATCCGAACTGTGGCTCGGGTGGAAATTTACTGGTGATTAAAGCCAATCATCTCACAATTCCATAAACAGCAGTCCTAAGCGAGGCCCTTTGAGCTCTCCTGGACTGCTGCGGGCTGCACCAGCATCTCCCTCTGATCGAAATGTCTCTCAGAGTCAGCGAACTCTGAAAGTTTGCTACAACCAGAAATCCATTCACTCCTCGAGGCTCAACACTCGCCCATTGAGAAATGCCAAGACATTAGATGCGAGTATTTCATTGAACTCAAGGGGAATTTTTAACAGGTATACCATTTTTATGTATGTATTCATGTTTGTGTGTATGCATGTGTGAATCGGTTTAAGCAGTCTGTAGATGTACGATTTAATTTCAAAGTGAGTCTTATGCTACTGCATTATCCTTATTCCTATAAACTGTTCACCAAGTCTGAGACTAAGATTGGACCTAGCCACACCTGGACTCCTCTCTGAAAAGGAGTTTAGAAAGCAAGGGGGTCTGTTCTGAACATCATGAACATCATGGGAGGGTCCTCCTTATCCCCGGCATCTGCAATCTCTCTCACCCAAGTGTAACCTAATTTTCTTTTATGGACCACTTCTATGTACTAGATATACATATATATATATTATCCTTATTCACATAAACCATTGAGCAAGTCTGAGACTAAGAGTGGGCCCAGCCGCACCTAGACTCCTCTCTGAGAAGTTTAGAAAGCAAGGGGGTCTATTCTGAACCTCGTGACTCAACAGGAGGATCCTCCTTATCCCCTATATACGCAATCCCGTTGTGAATCATTCCAACTCAGTGTAATTTAATTTTCCTTTATGCACTTCCATGTAGTAATAGAGTGAACCTTACCATCTTCGAATCTGTACCTAAGTCACTGTTTTGATCAATTTTGTCTAATCACTTTATTAATCATTGATGTTTGAGTGCTATTAAAATATTACAATCAAATCTTGCAATTTGCTACAAGCAAATTCTAAACTGCTACTAAATCAAACTGTGTAAAGTCACTCATTCACAATAAATCGACATAATCAGCAGGATTCACAAACCTGCATTCATGACACTGACACACTCAAACTGTAATATACCACTAAGAGGTGCATTTCAATATTGTGCATGTTTATAGGATGTAATAAGAGCTTGTGCTTTGATGTGAAGTCTATGCCATCTACTTCGCCTTCAGGGAAACACCTGGAATCCAACTAGGCACATCCTGCTGAAGTAGGAATCAAAAAACCCCTTCCTGGCTTAGGTCTGGAGCCAACACATTAGCCTGTAGAAACTGAAGAGTAATTTAAGTTTTTCTACTGCTTCCTACCTGTTCGATAGGAACATGAAGTTTGAGTGCCTCTTCTACTTTATTTTCTACTTGCTGAGCACTGCTTCTAACAAAGAAATTGTCACATGAAAGGAAGGCAGCAATTGTTGCCAACAATTTTCATTCACAAGAGCTATGATCTCTGCCTTGTTGCATGTGTACTGACAAAAAACGCTGGGCTGACAGGATCACCAGCAGATCAAGCTCTGGCACTTTACTGCTCTCACCCCATATTGACGCACGGATGCAGACACCTGACTTGGACTGCATAAACTGCTGGCATTCTCAAATGCCGCCATCTTCCTCCAGGTTCATTAGGGCAAGTTAAGCCTTCACTTTGGAGGCAACAATTGCTCCTGACACAGTCTTAATGTCTGAAATGTAGGCGTATCTGCATCTAAGTTAATGCTGAAGTTCATGAAAATTTCAGCCACTTAAATATTTGCGAGCAACAGGTTATTGACTTTTGACTCTTCTGCAGGCTCTTGTATGCCCACTAGAAGTCATTGTGGACAAGACTACACTTAACAGTTTCATATCATGCATATACTGACACTGGGGACAAGAGAGGCAAGGACAGGCCTAAGCTGCAGGGCAACCTTCTCAGCTGAACTGTAATTTAGTGGCAGAGGAGATGAAGAACCTTCCCATTTTCTCGTTTATTGAACGTAGCAGAGAACTGAACTTCTGTAACTTTTATTCACACACATTCAGCAACAGAATGGACCAGTAGCACTCAACTTCTTGAATTTCAACATTTCATTTAGCTTATGTCTTCTTGCATATTGGAACACCCAGATATATGTGTATTTATGCTTACCATATAGAGTAAAACCAAGATTATAGGTTTAGAGAAAGGTAACATTAGATCAATTCACATTTGGGGGGGGTGGGTGGGGGGAAGACTAGCTTTCAAGCTTCCAAGCCCTCTTCAAATCTCTCCTTGCCTTTAAATCCTTAGATCAGCTGTGTAACAATGTAATACATCTATAGCTCACTGCAGATAACTTCTTAAGCTTCCCATTCAGAGTCACCCCAATGCAATGTTAAGAACTTTATGCAACAACAAAAACAGAAAACACCCAAAACTTTTTCCATATTTCCAATCAAAATATTTATTTCCAATTGGGTATGAAAACCACACATGTGATATGACTAATGATTTGCCTCATACTGTCCTCCACCATTTACCTTTGAGAAGGCAGTACCATG